TAGGTGGGCGTACCAGGGAGTGACACGACTGACCGAAGTGGTACACCAGCTTTGTGCACCTTCGGGAGTCGGTAGAATCAGGTGATGTTTGAGTCACGAGCTTTCATCCTGTTGTGCTCCTCCTTTGTGATTTGCTTTGAATCCTGAAGTCTTTTAAGGGTCTTATAATTTTATTTGTCAGTTGTGCTGTTACACCGCTTTCTAAGCAGCGGTATGTTGTATGGTCGCTCAGGAGTTTCTTTATCTTTTCAACCTATTCTGTTTTATCCATCAAAACGCACATACGTCCTTTGTTGGCAGACAGGATAACGATGGTTTCATCAGCCTTTAAGGATCTGGTTGCTTTCTTCTCATTCTGTGATAAACAATTTTGTTGCTTGGTGTGGATTAGAATTGGAACAACCGCATGTCTTAACTGTGTTTTCGTCTCTTCGTCAAAGCCATTAGATTGCTAAATATTTCCGAATCCGGCAAGAAATTCTGTGGGTCTGGCGTCTTTGTAGTTATAGTTTAACCATTTGATAAGCACATGCCTTTCAGCAACACTGAGCGTTCGGCTGGACAGATTCCTGACCCAGCTGTCATTGGCACTCTCGCATTTGCAGCAGGTTAATTTAGCCAACTTCTCTCGTAAAGCAGCCTGCTTCTTCACTCTAACCTTAGCTGTTCTACGATCTATTGCTATGCTCAATTGTTCTGTCAGATATTGTCCAGCGGTTTGTAGGCAGGATGCTCTGTGTTCGTTTGGACAACTTTCATATTTCTTGATGTGATTGTGGGCGTCAAAAACCATCATCCGTATCATGAGTTTTCCAAAGTGTTTTGCAACGGCCCACGCTTACAGATGATTAACTGGCGGCTTGTACTTCACACTTCGAGGAAGAACATCACTTCGTATGCAGTCGTGGAGAAAAGTCAGTTACTGCCGAGTTGAGGCAAGCCTGCAGACTAAATCATCCCATCGGCGAGCCGTCCGGAGCGTTGAACGCCCCTAATTGTCAGCAATAAACTTCTATGTTCTACGCTGAAAATCGATTGACGAATCACTTCAAAATGAAGTAATTACTATCTAATGGGTGAAATTAGAATATGTTCCGGCGTTGCTGCTCCCAACACTGACGCAAACGAACTTGCGGATAGCAATGCAACCATACGGCAGGTGCTGCAAATCCGGGTTAGGAGTTGGAAAGTATTCAATCGAATAAGCGGATCTTCATGTTTCCAGAATGTTGTCGAGCGGTATTCTCCTCCACAAAACCCAAATGTAATAATTATTCTTGAACACAAAGTAAAGGCTTAATCCGATTAATGGCAATAGCCCCGGCAAACCGGAGGTGCCGGGAATTAGTATGGCAAAGCAGGATTCGAAAGGCCTTGTTGACCTCAATTCGGTGACCTAATGTCTACATGGCCACAAAGATTCCTTCCAGCTTGTCGAAGACCTCGATAAAATGAACTTGTCCGATAAGGTGATGTGTTCCTTAGATGTGGAATATTTGTTTACTAACGTGCCGCTACACCAGACTGTTGACTACATCTGCGAATTAACAGAAAGTTCCGAATGTCCGTTGCCGATTCCAGTTGAATTCTTACGAGAATCATTACTTCTATGCACAGAGAATGTCGATTTTCACTTCCCCAACATACCGTATCGCCAAATTGATGGGGTAGCCATGAGCAGTCCACTGGGCCTCGTACTAGCGGATTTCTTTATGCTAATGATAGAACGAAGCCTGTCCGAAGAAATGGCGCAGTTACACTATTACAAACGTTATGTTGATGATATCTTGATGTTCAGTTCAACAGAAATGCAGATCGCACAGCTGGTGGCGCGTTTTAACTATTCGCATGCCAATTTGAGGGTTTCCTGTGAAGTCGAACAACAGAACTGTCTTCCATATTTGGATGTTCTTATCAGCTGCAGGGAGGACGGATTGGTAAAACGGTCTGTCTATGGAAAAACAACGTGGTCGGGACTGTATCTGCAGTTTAGCAGCTTTACGCCAATGCGGCACAAGGGAACGCTTGTGAGAACCCTGTTTAGTCGCGCCAGACGAATATGTTCGAGCGATTGTCTAGACGATGAACTAGAATTAATTACCAACATGTTAATTGCTAATGGCTACTCTCGAAAGTTCATCCGGAATCACAGTGAAATTCGTGAAATGAAAGTTGCTATACCTATTGTGCCTAAGAAAAAGGTATTCTTGGAGCTGCCTTTTAAGGGTGACGTTGTTTCTTTGAGGACCAGGAGACGTCTGCTTTCCGCCACAAACAGCACTTTCTGTGCTGCCGAAGTTGTAATCGTCGACCGAACTCATAACCTACCGTTGCCTTCACTAAACGAAACTCAGCCTATTGGCGCCAACTCCCGTTGCGTATATCAATTCGTATGTAACTGCGGAGATAGTTACATAGGCAGAACCAATAGAACACCGAGTTCCCAAATTAAGGAGCATGTACCAAAATGGGTTCAGTGCGGACTTATTCAGCAACCATGCCCAAATCAGACTACATGTGTACGCAGGCCGCCAGCATCTTCGATCGGCAGGCACTTATTGACATCGGGTCACCGAATTGAGGTCAACAAGGCGTTCCGAATCCTGCTTCACAGTAATAATTATTACCAAAGTGGGAAAATTAGAACCACTGACATGCTAGCCGTGGAAAACCGTCCCAAATTACGTTGACCTAACGCACCTGTGTACATCTACAGAGGATATAATATGACGAACGTTACACAACCTTCACTAACCGATACAAACGAGGTTGGCTGCTTCCTGCATACCTTTTTGTGAACATCGTGGTAGGCTAGACCTAAACGACTTTTGTTTTATCACCGTTTCTGTTCACCTTGTTATGGTTCCCATTCTGGCTATCTTACAGGACATGTTAAGCATTCGCTTTTTTAATCGGAACATCCCGTTGTTCCGTTGACCAATTGTTTCATCGACTGAAGAAAATGTATTTGGTGCGTTGCAACTCACCCACGCGTATGCTTGTACGCATCATGCCACCCCCCGGGTACCCAGCACCTCAATAATCTAGTGGTCGACCATGAATCCCACTTTACACAGGCAAGCTGGCTATCCGGATTGTACACATAGATGGCATCCACACTTCTGCCTTGTATCCTATCAGTAAAGTGCAATCTAGAAACATGCACAGACGAAGATGCTCACTGGCACCTTGTGCACCTATGTAGGGCAAGATAATAATTGCACAAGTGGCATGTGCTTATTGCAGGCACAGCTTCTTGAAAGCTGTGATTTCGCTCTTGCAAGCCGCCTATATTTATGAATGGAGGTATCCTCCCCCAATTAGAGGCAAAACAATCAATCAGGGCAACAGTCTGTCACCTTTCAACTAAAGGCATGATCATTCAAAAACAGCCAAAAAGCCATGTACTGAAGAGAACATGAGCTATCCGCATGTGTCAGTACTTCTCTTCCTCTTTTACTAAGTATACTACTGCAGGAAAGCAAGCATTTTACCTACCGAAATAGTCAAAGTAATAAAGCGGTTTGTTTAGAGACTGACAGTTTTGCATGATTGGGAGCTGAGAAATTCCCTTACGCAGAAACGTACTAAAAATGTATCGCATGTTAAGAAATAGTGGTGAAGTAGTATCAAGCATGTAACGCCTACTTGCATTGGTTCTTCCACCACCGAGACCTCTGGTTCTCTGAAGTGGCGTCTTTTGTCGATTGCGGGCAAATTTGTCAACTTTCATTGCAGGTAAATGACCTACAGTAGCTTCCATCCCCGCTTCTCTTGGATGATGAGATTGCCCTAGTAATGACAAGGGGAACAGAAAAATGACGTGCTTAGATTCGGAATAGATCATGGTTTGACAAGGATACTAGCTACCGCTTTTATGCGGGATCTTCCTTAAATGATTCTGAAGCAGGTACTTGAACTGAAATTGTTTGGGACTAAGGTACACTTTGCAGTCCCGGTTGTGAATATGTAATTTTTCACGGAATTCTCAATCTACACGTGCTGCACTTGTTACCGGTTATGAGGACACAGCCATCGCTTCACTACGGTACAAGTTTGTATACTTAGGTTTTGAGGTAATGATAAATTTGGTATCCAACTGACGAACAGAATTTGCAGCAAAGTTTATCCACAGCGATGCAGAAAACCATTATTCAGCAGTTTGCTGGGAGTTTACCAATCTGAATTTCTTCAGCTGTGGGTAGTTCACAAGCCCATTCGAACTATAGATGATTAAGGAAATTAGTGCGCAACTGGTATATTGATCTTGCCAGCATCCTGTTGTCTCGTCTAGGCTTAATTTTTGCCTCGTGCAACCATGGAATATCGCTACGAAGCCCATACACAAACCGTTTTCACTGACTCCTTTGTTAAACCTGTTACAAATTGCGCCCACGCCTATCTCGTCAAAGACCCCGTAATTTGTTCATTGGTTCCGTTGTGACTATTTACTAGCAGCCTGAATTATTCATCATTATACCTGAGTAAGTAACTTGGGAAATACAGCTAACACCCTCTGGGGAGTAAGATGTATGTGTCCTACCCAAAAGTCTACATCCATCGAAACTCATTAGATGTGTTCGTAGTTCTTATTCCGAAGGAGTGCTTATTTTCTTCTAATCAGTTAAGGACCGATACGTCACAGTGCACTTGTGAAAACAATTGGCTATCATTCCGCCACAACCCGCATCATCTCCACCTACCTTTCTTTTGGCCATGCGCATGGGAGATTTCGCACGACCTTACGGAGAGCGAGCGTATTGCGTCAATACGCACCACATTGATCGATCTGGTGGCCAACTTCGGGTCGACATTGTAACCGCGTGGGGTGTGCACACATTGGCGAACAGCTGCACCGCACCTAATCTTCCTGTCCCAAACCCTAATTGGCTCACCTACACACAGTACTGGTGGGATAGACACAATCACGCCCACATCAGCTTCGCCTGCACTGGTCCTCGCCGTCCAAGAGATATACACAAGGTTTTCGTGTACGGTACACGCCGGTACGTTGTGCTCCGTTGCAATCGTTGTGACGATCTGGGTTTATTGTTGCGTACCATATCTCCCCTCGTGTTTCTGGACCTACTCCATCTCTCCTTCACTGACCTTTTCAGTTTGCTTGGACTCAGTTCACTGCTCAACCACAATGAGCGACGACGAAAGCCAGAACAGGTAAGTAAGTTCCGGAATCATTGCAATTGGGCTGTACAGTGCTAGTTCACTGTTAAATGGAAGGTGAAGCGGTTAGTCGTAGATCAAAGACGTATCTGGGAAAGAGTATATGGTATAGAAGCGCTGGTGATCCTGTTAGCATATTCATGCGTCAATTTGGTCAGCACCAGGTTCGCGGTATCCTTTTGGATGATCAACAACAGTTCGATGTTTAACTTCTTTCCCAGCTTATCGGGTCGCAAAAATTGTACACCCATGCTCCTTAGGTGGATCGGGCGAGTACTCGGTCCAGCTGCTGCCCAGTGTCCTCTGGCGAATCTATCTAATGGGCACTTTGATCCCCATGGAATGGTATCACAACTGGTCATTGAAAAGTCTCGATGCATCTAGCTTCTGATTGGCCAGAAGTTCTAACTGATGTGCATTACGAACCCAAAATGAGTCCATTTAATGAGGTTATATTTTTGGCAGTGCAGTAGCCATCTACTCATGGTCATTGTATAACACGAGACGGTCGTATATCATTCCTGCATTTCATGTTAGATGTTCACTAGGTGACAATACCCTGTGTGTATACAGATAGGGCCAATGCAGTCGGGATAGGCAATCTTAAAGATGATCAGTGTTTGGAATGGCAACTCGATCTCCTTACCTCAGATGTTGGCACAACGAAAACAAGAAGCTAAGTGGGATGCTAGAGGCTGATAAATCCAAATTCGTACTTTCTGCAGCTTAACCTAACCGGGGTGCATTTACACAGGTCACTCACAGTTTTGTCGTCAGCAGAGTGTGGTAATGTTTTGTGAAATGTCGCTGCTCGGAGGGGAAGATCATCCGTCAGACGGATGTGCCGTTTTCTGATTCGCCCCAGAGCGAAAAACCTAAAGCATCGGCCCGTCTGGTTTGAGGAGGTCAAGTTTGAAAGTTGTACCGATTTGATCGGTGGGTGATATTTGATAGATGCTTGGGGGCTCGGGCTGCTGAAACGGTTCGACTGCCGAAGTCGAAAGGCTTAAGCTTTCTGTTATTATCCGAGTAGTCTACAACTGAATGTTAGCTCTACCACTGGCATATGTCCCATTAGGATTGCGCTGAGCCCTGTTAGATGTTGTCATAGCGTTTAGTTCGTTATCTGTTTGTAAAGGTCAACATACCTCGTTCAAGCGTCGTGAATTCACGTGTTCATGAGTAAAACCAATTGATCCAAGCACCCACTGATTCAGGGAGCCCAGTATGGTAATGTCTTAACTTTTTAACTGTCCGATACTTCCAGGCGTTAAACCTGAATGAGCTACTGGCAGATTGCTGCTATCGATTTGGGTTAAGAGAATACAGACTGCGGATATCGCACTTAGAATCTTGTCTAGAAACGTGCTAACTATTTCACGACACTTGTTGTCTGAAGATTGTTTACAAACCGCGCACTCAATTTGCTAGTGCGGCCGTCGCATTATCTACCAAGTTTACTAGTCCAATAATTCAGAATTTCTTGTTTACGTTAATTAGGCTAACAAGTAACGCAGTTGCATGAACCCCACCAAGCAAAGTAGCGTAATGCAGAGCATTCTACGTAACTCATACTCACTCTATATTACCGAATATAAACCCGTCCATGCATAGGCCAACAGTAGAACTGCAATTACAAATTTGTCCAAAGTCGCAAGTCCCTCTGTTAGCCGACCCCCGAAAAATCAGCAAAACAAAAAACGAAATTGTTTCTCCACCTTTTTGAGGTCACCATCACAAGCTGCTCTCACTTGAGTGTGCTCAAGCGAAAGCTGATCTACTATATTGGTCAGTTGTAGTGGCCGTAAGGTATAGGCGCTTTTGATTCGCAACCCAAAATGGCACTAACGCAACGCCACATGATCCAGCTGGGAGGGAATGTGCTTTCATTTCGTGCGAGCATCCAAAGCTGTGGAAATGTGAAAATATGTCTCAACAGAGCAAATGAAGCAATTCAAATCCCCGTCTAGAAGACCGTCTTTCACTAGCTGGTGGTTTTAAGATGTGTGGGGGGGGGGTAGGGGCAGAGGTGTTCAGTGGAATCTTGCGTTGAGTTCACATGTAACTTTGTGACATTGCATATAAAATTTTTGTAAGTCGTCCCTCATTTACAGAAATGAAAAAATGTCCAATACCTACCAGTTTGTATTCGGTAAGATACGGGGCTTTGTAGGTGGATTCAAGTGTGATGTCGTTTCAAACTTCATCTGTGTTGGCACTTTAATGCGCTGAAAGTGTTAGAAACGCGTCTAGATGGTCCAAAGTACTCCAGTTTTCACCGAGTTCACTTCAGAACTTTAGCTTCTGCGTTTGTTCAGTGTAGAATCGGACGTTACTTATTGGGTCATCTACTATCCTTATTCCAAGTGTTCGACGTTGTATGTTGCTATGTGATCTTCAGTGCCAACATGAGTGATCCCGGGTTGACTCAGTAATTGAGTTGCAACCGAGACGATTGGGTTTCTAATGTAGACTTTAACAGATGTGACTTAGCCTAACTAGCTTGCAAAAATCACAGATGGGTGACATTTTAAGTGTCGTCATATATAGTTGCGTAACAATATTTCATGTGTTTTGAGAACACAGCTATTTTGATGTAGTAATTGTTTCGGATCTAAATAAGCCGATACATCTAAACTGATGCAAAGATACACACTGGCTGTTCTGCAGCACCAGTTGTTCAATTGATTATCTTGCAAAGAACAGTGAAATTTAGAGTACTGGTGGTTTTGTGAGCGAGTGCGCCAATCTGCAACACCAGGACAGATACTGTGAGCTTATTGACAATACGTCGCGAACCAAGCAGAAGTCATGTATTAAATTGCGCACCTGATCGTCAGTCCTTGGTAGTTCAGTTGGTGGAGCAGCGGACCGGTAATCCTTATGTCTGGGGTTCGATTCCCCGTCGGAGCAGGATTATAGTGCAGTTTAATCGTGGCTTCCACTTTTTACAAAAATTGACTCCAAACCACCAATAAAAATACCACCAATACTCGAAACAGTGACATTGTCTGACTGACATCTCCACTCTGTCAAATGAACCTACTTTAATTAGTTGTGTGATAAGGGTGGTAAAATACCCAGTGTAACTCACATCAAAGTTTTCTTACTTCGTCCCTAGAGCTAATGCACGTCCATCAATTATCCACTGGTGTAAATTATACCGTTGTACTTTCTTTGTAGTCTACTAAAACCCACCGAAGTAAACACGTCTCATCACTATGCAGGACATCTAAAAGGTCACCAACCTATACTGTTTTACGATATTTTGCTTCCACTCCACAAACTAGGAACTGATTTTAATACTAACTTTCAAATTTTCAATGTATTGTCAATTGAAGTCATACGTTTTGTTCCCTTCCATTTCGCTCCCCACCGTAATTTGATCAGCTCTGACGTAAGTTCAATCGAGTCTTTTGTCCATCCATGTGCATATTCAAGTGCCATAGTTTCAGATCTCTTGCTGATTTGAGCACGGCACCCGGTCTTGTCTCCTACCCCATTCCCTTTACCTTTATGCATCGGATTGCTGTCACCCACCTACCTACCTTGCTGCCAAATCTACCCAACGTAGCCTAACGATTGTTTGATACACAAGTTCGTGGCGTTTTTGCGATCACATGAAACCTCCTCTTCTTATCCCCCTACCTTTCTCACATTTCTCACACACCCTATTTCAGTCCGAGGAATCTGAAGAGGTGCGATTCTGGGCAACCAAAGCCTTAATAAGCACCAACACATTAGGCCTTTCGTCTCTGAGGCCAACTGACTGTCGGTTGCACCATTCGTCGCATGAATTGCTTCTTGCACATGTTATTAAGAGACACACAATTCGTGTGTACACACCGCCTGATTGCACGTACGTTGTTGTAGTACCTTTAAAGTATACGCCTGAACAACCTTGATCAGCACGATGGTTAGAGCTACTTGAGCATGAAAAGTGAGTTACGTAGAATGTGTACTACCTGCCGCCATCGGAAACAGATTAAAAAGAACAGCAAGTTCGCAGATACGCTGATCTCACCGGCAGAAATGCCCAGAGGAGTTCCTTCGTCTCATATTTATCCTCCATGTCTTTTGTTTGCAGTCTATGGCATGCAAAAAATTTGCGGCAAGGTGCCAAGTTACAAACCCGTTATGCATGAAAGCACATATTTTGCTCCCCTTATCGTAGAACACAGTTATATCAGAGGAAAGGTTAAAAGTTCCCATTGAACAAACGGGGGCTTGCGCATTGGTAGGCTGTGTACACCGCTGGTTGCTGCACTTCACGCCACACTGTGTGGACACCCCAATTCATGTGTGCATGTAGAAATTCCCCACCCCATAACCTTTCTGCATGTTAGCACGGGAATGAGATTTGACGAATGTCATACCACGCCTTGTGTCACACCGCTAATTCAACCTGTGTTCAACCTGCACTCCATTCCTTTTCCACTACAGGAGTCCGAACATGAACGACGTGAGAAGGTGAGTTGGCCGATTTGCATTGATGTCTAATCAATCGATTCTCCATCTTTATCGATTTGATAAAAGCTTACCTAGAAGCTAAGGGGTTTACATCACATTTACAGGATACACTTGTAGCACCCAAAATATTGCACACTATAGTACAGATATATCTCCGCAATGTGCCCCATGATTGGGGCGGTTGTCAGGTGTTGGAAAAATAGTGAAACTAAGGGAAACGGGTGAATAAATTGGTAACTCGGGCTGGGTGTTCAGATGTTGTTTTGCTTGCTGAGCTGTATAATTCTATTGCGGAAATTTCCTCGCTAATCGCAGTGACGTCGAGAATTTGTGGGAAGCTATCAAGGTCATTGCTACAACTGCTAATGTGCACTGAAAATTTCACTTCGATTATTGACGAAACGTTCAGAAACCTATTGCTCAGCTCGGCAAACATACCAAAATCGCAGGAAACAACTGTTTTCATGGTTGCTGTAACGGCTTCAACGACATGCCAGTTGAACAGAACCGGTTGCTGAAGGGGTTAACACAAGTAATTTTGCTGATTTCTTACGGAAGACGCCTAGCAGATTAGATGGGTTTCTATGACTCCTTTGAGTTTCAGTCGGAATTCTGGGGTTCACAGAAAATCACAATGATGTTAAGTCATTAGTAATGTTGTGTTTAACATCTAACTACATTCACTTCTTGCTCTCTGTGTAGTCCAAATGCCATGGTATTTAAGGCTTGTAATTTATGAGTATTGAAAAGCTATATAGTGACACTAGACAAATAAAAATCACATGGTTGTACCTCCGTCCAACAGTGAACGAACAGCGTCAACAACGCTGCGAAATTGACATGATAAATGTGAAAACGATTACCGCTGGGAGCGAAAAAGAACTAGCAAGAGCCTAGCGCTTATGCACAAGAGACCAATGTCCGTTATGTCATCGAAAGATATACTTGACCGAAATACACGACTAAATGTTTTGAAATCGTTGCATCTGTATCTAGTTGATCACTTGCAGTGTAGCCAAAAAAGAGATTGCTCACCGACCATGTCACTTTCATGACGGGGAAGCAACCTTCCTCGCAACCATTCGTTGTAGACGGACAGTTGGCCTAATTAAACAGCTGTCTTGTCACCGATTTCAAACCACATCAGCCAGTTTGCAGAAACCAATATCTACCACAAACCCATTAGTCCTGTTATCACACCAACATTTTTAAAAATATCTTCTGTTGCTTTTTTCCCATCGAACCTGAAACACACATCTCTCTCTCCTATGGGCTCACATGCGAAGTTGTGGCCTTTAAAGCAGCGGTGTTTTTCCATTCGACTAATGTTGTATTTTGTCGCCCATTCACGCACACGCGAACACACACACCAGTCGGACGAGGAAGAGGAGATTCGAAGACAGGAGGTAACGAGAATACACAACCTCGTGAACTAATCGAATGCTCATTTGGTTTGGGGTGCATTTTCTATTATACGTGTATATGTATATACCTATATACATACATATGGCTGCATACATATACACCACGTGTACAGTGCACACGAATGAAACTTGTTATACTTTGATCGGATAGTGTGTACACACTTGATGTTGCTTTCAGATTTCAGTTCTGCAAACTGACCCATGTGTATCCACCTGCTTCACTGTGCTATAAATGTTCGCTTATGTATAGAGACTGGCGCATGTTAACCGCATGTTACTATGTTTTTGTACATGAGTAGTGCGACTCGAGGGGGGGGGGTACTCCACTACTGGGTACGATGCTGTTTAGCAATATGCGGATTGTGCTCATGACAGTCCCAGCTCATTTAGTAGGACTTGGACGCCGCTATAATACTTCGTATCCCTTGTGACATTTGTAATCACCGAATATGTACTGTTGAGTTTCTCTCTGTGCCTTACTTGGCAGTGCTTCGAAATCGATAGTGCATGAATCACTGAATACTACCTTCATAGTGTATGATGGCCTCAACGGTTGACATTGAAAGCAACTTCCTCATTGTCATTATGCTTGATTATTATCCGTATTGCATCAGTAGTTTAGCAAAAATACCGCTCCCTCGCTCTGTTGTTCAAATGCACGAGGCAACAATCTGCCGATGGGACTTCTCTGTGCAACTGTTTTATTTATGAGCAGGGGATCGTTGCTGTAGTTAATAGCTGATTATTTGCAGTTTTTTCTGCACCAAACAGTCCCTACACACAGCCGTTTCGTTCCATTGGGACTCAACAATATTGGGAATCTCCCGGTCCCATCAGGAATCGAACTCATGACTCATCGACGCTAGGGACTTATGCCACTAGAACACAAGCAACGGTGATTGACCGTGACCACTAACAAAGTGACTTCGAGAAAACGCATGCAAGTCATGAACTTGTGGAGAACAGGGTTCGCCCACAGGACTACTGCTTCCCGAAAAAACAGCTGTGTGAGACATGGAATTTGGAAAGTGCATAGGTATACTTCTGTTATTATCTTTCGGTAGAGGACTTTTAGGATATTTTACACATGATCCTTTGCAGCACGCTCTCCGTAAC